CTTTAAATTTTTATCGAAGAAAGGGGGGGGGGGGGGGGTTGGGATAAAGTGTAATATCTTGAATTCTAGCTTCCTCAACTGTCTCACAATATACCTACCTGTTATCATCCCCTTAAAGATCTTCTTGAAATTGTGATTAGGAGTCCTAACACATTGGTATAGGAATCACTGAAGACAAATGACCCTTGAAGGGAAGTCCATAAATAACAATTAATCTGGTCTAATTATATGGATATAGATGGGAGGTAAAGGTTTGATTAGTTAAAATCACTTGGGAAGATGGAAAGAAATTACAAAGATGAGAAGATTGAGAGGAGCCTTGGTAGGGAGAGAGACGTAGAACCTGTTCCAAGGCAACCTCCTCTGTTTTGTCCATGGTAATATATTTCATTTAAGGAGGATGTGTTCATTTAGGATAAGTTCTGCAAGGCCCCAGAGAATGGCCTTCCTGATGCTTGTGAATTTCCCTTTGATAAATCATAGGCGGGAGACTAGTTGTCAAGTTGTCACGAGGAACTCCTTAATATAAAAGAGGGACAATGAGGAGAAGAGGGTATAGGTAGGTTTAGAAGAGTGTTGCTGGTTTCCAGATCTTCCGGTTAGACTCTTTCTTATACAGAAGGGATATAGAAGGGTTGATCCTATCCATGCATATAAATGCAGGCATACAAACTTCCTCAGTTTTGGGAGGTTGAACTCTGCTCAATATCTGCTGGCTGCCAAGCCTCACTCTAACTGCTTGCAAGTTGGCTAGCTATCATACATTCACACTGAGACTGAACTTGCATTGCATTTGCCTATTCTTGACGTGATAGTAAAATATCAGTCCTTTGTGGTTTGATGGTATGGATCCATCTTCTCTGTTTGTTCTTTTCCTGGGAAAATGGAGTTGCTATGCTCCGTGTGTGTTGAACCACTTCTTGACTCTCAACATTCCGGAGCTTTGATGATGATAGGTTGTCACCATGTCTGGGCTCAATAAGTGATTTACTTGATATAGTGCGAGAATATATCATACAGTGCTCAGACATATCTTTAGAGAGAGGTACAGCAGCTTTCTTGTGCTCACCCCTTGTACCACTGTACAAATTGTGTGTTGTATGATGTTCGCCAGTCTTCCACTGCAACAGCATTCATGCACAGGACCATATATATTGCTCTTATTCTCTATAACAACCAACTTGACGGCTCAAAATAACGTTGGTCCACTTGCGACACCAAACTGTGAAATCTTATAGCATTAGATGCAATGCGTGTGCATCCTTACTCCTGCATTGCGTAGGAGAGTTCCTTTACCTTCTGTCTCTGATGGACTCCCTACAGTTGCTTTAAATATCACTGATAAGATATCATAAATGATCATTGCTAAAGATATGGTTCCTAGAATTGATACATTATTCCCTTTCTGCTCTAACTCACTGATGATTGCTGAACTTTTTACTTTCTTTTGTTGTCAACTTGCTCTTATCCAGCCGTCCAAAAAGTTAGTTGCATGCCTTTTCTTTTGGCAAAGTTGTGCCCTCTCTATTTTTGTTCTCTGATTTTGTTTGCTAATCTTCTGCCACTTTGTAGCACTTTGCAGGGCAGTTGGAACGAGGAAGAGTCTCCAGTGATCCTGCATTAAGGGGACAGGTGCAGACAGAGTCTGTGCTAATTGGTCAAGTTATGCAACATTTAGGTGCCCTTCTTTTAGAGCTTGGAAGGACGATATTGACTCTCAGAATGGGACAATCACCTGTATGACTTTTCCCTTCTCTTATTGGTGGTTAAGCATTTTCTATTAGTGCTTCTCTTACAGTTATTAAGCTGATATTTGCAGGCTGAATCTTCAGTAAATGCTGGTCCTGCTGTTTACATATCTTCGACGGGGCCGAACCCCATAATGGTTCAGGTTTGTTTGACAGATAAAAGTAGAGGGACTAGGCTAGGATTGCAATCTGAAAAATAGGTAGATACTAGCTCCTTTTTTTTTTTCTTCTCATGACTTGTTGCTCTTCCTTGATGTAGCCTTTCCCCCTTCAAACCAGTTCACTCTTCGGTAACTCAGCTGCTGTTCCACCTAACCCTGGTACCTTTGGCGCTCTTGGGATTGGTAATGCCCCAAGGCATGTTAATATTCATATACATGCAGGTATGAGAAATATGCTAGTACAAAATTCTGTATTTCGCTTAAGGAAATGTTGTAACCTTTCTAACAATGGGTGCTTTTAACACCTATTACTTCTGCAGTTGGTGCTAGGGCGACCAATGGAGATGGAGCACATGGTGAACGTGGTAATGGAACTGATTCTGGCCAATCAAGGGTTTTGCCTGTTGGAAATATAATGGCTACAGCTGTGGCACCAAGGCCTGCTGTTATCTCAGTCTCTAGTATGCCACAGCCTGGTATAGCGCCACAGATTTATGTCCTAAAATAATCTATTATCATATCTGAACTTTTTGCAGACTGAGAGCTTCTTGTTAACATGTGTAACGTCTGTACTTTTTAATTGGATGATAATGATACAATATGGCGATATACTTTCTGAAGTGCTTTTCTGTATCATGAAGGCCAATCAGATGGCCCAAGTGGCCAAGAGCGATCTACTGTGTCTGGTGCTGAGAATGATACTGTTAGCACTCAACTAGATGAAACATCTGCAAGTGGGATGACTGTGCCTGAGCCTCTACCGGCGCACAATGTTCCCGGAAGAGAGGATAAAATGGTCAGTGCCAATAAAATGATTCCATGACCTATCTTTTTTCCCCTAGTTTGAGTTTGACATTGTAGACCTAATTAAACTTGTAAATGCCAGAGTCTAGGTCAATCAAGCGAAATGTCTCATAGTAAGCCAGAAGCTTCAGCCAGTGTAGGAAGAGCTCAAAGGTCTAGTCAGGAGTTAGGTAGTCCTGATGAATCCTCATCTGTGCCCCTTGGATTAGGGCTCAGAGGTTTGCAGCCGAAGGTAAGCAAGCTGTTTTGATGCTGCTTCCCAGATATATTTTTGATTATTTGATTTGGCTGAAAGATGGAATGGTAATAGAGTACCTTCCTTTTTTTATTTCCAAATGTAGTAGGCTTTTAAAAAGACATGTGAGAAGGAGTCATTTTCTGTTGGTACTAAATGAAATGATTTTGTCTGCTGAGTTTTGTAGTGTTCATGTACCATTAAATGGTAGGTCAAATTTTATTGTTTTACTTTCTTGAGTCCTCAATTTGTTTTTGTCCTTTTGTCTTGCCAATTGCTCATTAACCTTGCATTAGCATTCATGCCCCTCAAGAGATTTTGGAAGTTGAATTTTATAAGTAGTAATAAATAAGCTCCCCCTCCCTACGAGACTCGTAGTCTAATGGTAAGAGTGCAACATATGATGTGTGGGTTTAAGTGCACATAACATGTTCAACAATAGCCTGGTAATTAAGCTGAGAAGGGTAGAGGGATGTGCCCTTTATGCATTGAGTTTCAAACAGTACACTAATGGCCCTTGGGATTTCTCAGGCTTGGGTCAGTGAGTTTTAGTTTCTTCTGCTGCCTTGTTTATCATTTTCTTAACAGTGTCGAAAGAAATTGAGAGCTGGTTACTGCCCTTATAATGATTTTTCCCTAAATCTTAAACTACTATGTTGAATTAGTGTCTATGGTGGTTTGTCAGTTTGGTGCAATGTTATTGTTGATCTCATAACTGAAGAAAAAGTCAGATTTGTGAATGTTCTCTGGAATTGTTTTAACCTTTCACGTAGTGAACTTTCTGTTCCATGTACTGCTTTTCCAACTTTTGGTCCTGGACTTGACATTATTATTTCTTTTGGTGGATCTGCAAATTAGAGACGAACTAAGCAATCTGTAGTTCATGGAATTAATGCTGATGGTTCAACTAGCAGCAATCCAAATGAACTACCTCAAAGAGATGAGCGTCAATTTTTGCAGTCTCTTGCAGCACTTGCAGCCAGGGGAAATGAGCCTGCTATGCCCTCAGGGACACACTCAGATAGGGGAGTTATGGGGACTATTGGCACGGGAAACCAAAATGTTGATGGCCAATCAGAGATAGCGGATGCAATGTCTAGTGTCCTTCAGAGTCCTGCTTTAAATGGTTTGTTGAGTGGGGTTTCACAACAAACTGGGGCTGGCTCTCCGGATCTCTTGAGGAATATGATGCAGCAACTCACTCAAAGTCCAGCAATGATGAACACTGTTAGTCAGATTGCGCAGCATATTGACACCCAGGATCTTGGAAGCATGTTTTCTGGGCAAGGTGGTGGTATGGACTTGTCTAGGATGTTTCAGCAAATGATGCCAATTGTCTCTCAAGCTCTTGGTGGCATCTCAGGTGTGCCTCAACAAATTCCTAATATTGCACAGAGGCCTGGTGAGAATACCGCAGTAAGACCAACCACTGAAAATGTTCAGGTTTGTTCCTGTTAGCTATTTATTTTGTTAGAATGATGTATTTGCAAACTAAGTTTTCTGTATCAATTGCAATCTTTTCAGATTGATCTTCATGAGGTTGCCCAAGAAATCGAGAACAATAGTCCACCTGTAGAGATTCTTCGTTCTTTGGTCCAAAGTACAGAATCTTTGCATCACCATGGAAGTACCGATGAAAGTCTGGCTGATGAACTGTCCATTGAAGAGAACCTAGCCGATGTGAGTAGCTGGATTTGTGATTTGAGTTTGGTGTTTGTTAAGGTCATGCATGGGTCTTATGTTTCATTCTCATTCATGCAGGAATTCATGCAGATGCTGCGTAATGATGTTTCTCAGCGATTCAAGGATAAAGAGGGCAAATAGGGAATATACTTAATTTTTCTTCTCATTTTTCTGATATTGTTTCTAAAGAATGTCCAGTTACCAATCATTTTGGGTTCTCAAGTAGACAGACAGACAGACAGCTGGTGTAGGGGGGGAAAGCCATTATACTATTCCCGTGTGTATGTATGCCTATGGAATAGTTAATCCAGCGGATGGGAACTGTATTTTCTATGTTTAATCAAAACAATGGTACCATTTCATTCTATCAATGTGTTTTCATAACTAACTTATAAAGCAACAACAAAACCACTGTAATCCTTCAAGTGGGTATGCGGAGAAGCGTGTATTCAAACCTTACTCCGAAGGTAGAGAGGTGGGTAATGTTTGAAGCATGCCCTAAATTACGTGCATGATTGGTTCTCTCCTCCATCATTATCCAATTCAAGTGGGTATAATCTGTAGTACTCAATTGGTGCATGCATCAAAGGAGCTGCTACAGCAACATATTTATGTAGTGTAATTCCTCATATCATGAATGCTCCTAAGCTCGACTTTTCTCCTATTTACTGTCATTTAGCAGTTTTTTAAGAACTACCTGTAATGGGAATGTCATCAGTCAAGGGAATATGAGTTGATCTAGGGATTGGTTGGTAGTGGCGGAGCTTGAGATTTTTTTAGTAAGGGGTTTAAAAAACATACGAAGCTAAAAGGAGTTTAGTATTTATCATATACATAAAAAATGATTTTAATTATATACAAAAAGCGTAATCAGTGGTTGTTAACGTTGTTTTTACATGGTTAAGTTATTTTGTGTGTGTATATATGGCATATGTTAAATCCCCTTCGACTTCTTCTATTTATATTTTGAACCAATATCTGGCTTCTAATCTTATTAACTTAATGATAATTGATAGGTTTGTCTGGCGTTCATTAAAGGGATTATTGACGTAACCCTATTCAAAAGTAGGTTCAGCTAAGATAGGTTAGTCAAGTTGTTTATCCTTAAATTAGTACACGTGATTTAAAGAAACGTAGATTAAGATGATCAAATAGTAATAAAATTGTTAATGTCAAATTGCTCAGTAGATGTAATTAATGCCAATGAATGAAAATGAATAACAATGAGTCAATGGACAATATAAAAATAATTGAATAGATAAAGCTTGTTCTCTAACGTGGTTATAATAGTCGGAAAAGCAAAAAGCATTAGTATTTAAAATTGCGTAGTTTTGATCAACTAGACAAAATATTCGATTGGTGCATGCAGTGGAGCAGTTGGGACATTAAAAATCAATGAAGCATAAGTTTAGTTTCAAAACTCATAAAGTAATTTTTTAGATAAAGTTTTCTAAACTTATGTGTTGCGAATGGAATATTATTGCGAAATTAGTCCAATTGATAACTAGAGACATAATTTTTTTTTGGAATTACGAAATAAACAGAAGCAGATATAACAGGTTGTGTGAAGGCACAAGTGTCACGGACTTAGAGTATTTGCTAAGACACCGTGCGGCACTTGACAACTTACTCACTATTCTTTCAAGATCTCGTAAGCTCAAGTAAGCCTTTAAGACTAAGATCGCTAAGAGAATGCTTAAGAAAGACTTAGAAAATCAAAGAGAGCTTTTTGGAAGAAGGCTTTTGTATTGGCTTTGGAAGATTGCTTACAATTACTCTTTTAGTGCTTTTTACCCTTGCGGTTCTCTTTCCACCATCCAGACGAATGTTGGTGGTGCTAGCGGCGTTTACGTCTCCTTCGGTTGCCATTCCCTTAGTGCAAACCTTTGCTTTGATACCACGTTGTCACGGACTTAGAGTGTTGGCTAAAGTTCCGTGCGGCCCTTGACAATTTACTCACTAATCTTTCAAGCTTCTTGTAAACTCAAGGAAGCCTTTTAAGACTAGATCGCTAAGAGAATGCTTAAGGAAAGACTTAGAAAGAACAAAGAGAGTTTTGGAAGAAGGCTTTTGTATTGCTTTGGAAGATTGCTTACACTTGCTTGGTTGGATGGTGCCTTGCAAATGAGGGGCACCTCTATTTATACTACCTCCTAGGGACTAAAATGTAATTAAAAAATTACTTACAAGTCCCTCACTTATTTACACTTTGGTCCTAGCTCTAGAACTTTCTACACACTCTAGGACCTTCCATTGCCTTCTAAGTTATTCTAGAGAATTCTAGGGACTTCTCTAGCCTTCTTGAATAATCTAAAGGGTTCTAGAGTCTTCCGGAAACCTCTCCACAACTCTAGACCCTTCCGCCCCTATCCGGACGCAAAATTCTACTGCGAAGTGGCAGGACGTGACACAAGGCTGCCTATTACATGACTTGCCTAATTACATGAGTTGGGTCCTAAATTAATTTAATTTTTTTCTACAAATTTACATAATCCACATTATTAAATAGTACCAAAATTGTGTTTTCGGCTGAACTGATCATGATAGTTAACTAGGTAAAATTGTATAAGTAGTTTAGCAGCTATAAAAACTACAAGTGAAGATGTAACAATTCACACAAAACAACAGAACAAAGTGACACTGACTTTAAAAACTCTGTTTTTTTTCATCATTTTGAAAATGGCCTCAACAAAACAATATTTTTCTGCTGCTGGCAAGCCTATTCGTTGCAAAGGTATGTATATACTCTTCACAAAAATCTTCTGCTATTATCTTGATACAACTCTGTCTATAAATAGCTTCACTACGTCAAAAATGATCTTCAGCGGAAATATATTTTTTTAGAGGGCAATTACTAGTGACAATTATATTTTAGCACTTTCTGTAAATGCTGCTAAAGCCTGTAGTGATATTAGATCTAATGACAATTAACTAATGTCGGCAAAAGCTGCTTTACCACTCTTTGTTAATATGCATATTTTTTTCCGCTAAAAGTTATTGTTGTAGTGCTGTGATGAATCCAGATATTTTGAGGACTAATTCATAACATTGAGTGTCATGAAGGGGCGGAGCAGGTTCGTCCGAACCCCTTCGAAAATACTGTATATATAAGGTCAAAAAGATCTCTTCGTCCAAAAAGTACACGGTATAAATAGGGTCGATAGGTAGTATGAGATCATATGGGTCCTATATTGAATATGAACAAGAAGTGATCCTCACCTTGCATGTAGAAAAAGGGTTCTTAGCATTTGTTGATTGATAAAGAAACTTGAAAACAATACACGGATTTTTATTGATAAAAATTGCTGCTTTCTGTGTTGAATTGTGAACCATGTCAATGGTTTGATTAAATTGTGTGACAGTTAGAAAAGAGCGCACTTTTAATTACTTAATTATATTATGTCTCAACACGTTATAAGTTAATGACTTGTGAGTCGTATGTGTTGCAGCTGCAGTGGCAAGAAAAGCAGGAGAACCACTGGTGATAGAAGAAGTGATTGTGGCTCCTCCTAAAGCACATGAAGTTCGACTAAAAATCATTTGCACTTCTCTCTGTTATACTGACATTATCGTATGGAGGATGAAAGTAAGGTTATTGGTTTAGCTTATCTCCCCCGTAGAATCACTTGTTTATTAACTTTTGTATCAACTGTTTTCTTGCTTCTTGTAAGGAATTTCCTGGCTGCCTTCCAAGAATCTTAGGCCATGAAGCTTTCGGGTAAATCTTACTTCAATTTCATTTTATACGAAGGTGTTTTGACTCTGACACGAAATTTGTATCAAAAGTACCCTTGAAAGTTTTAAATATTGAAATGTATCGTTCTTTTGGAGCACACGTATACAACATTAAGGGGTTGATTCTTATATATGCACCAGCAAAATATGACATTCTGATCGACTTTACTAACTTTTACTGAATTCAAGGGTTGTCGAGAGTGTTGGAGAAGATGTTAATGAGTTCAAAGAAGGAGATTCAGTTGTACCGATATTTTTGCCTGACTGTATGGACTGTGTAGACTGTAAATCCAAGAAAAGCAACCTTTGTTCCAAATTCCCATTTCAAGCGTCTCCGTTGCTGCATAGAGATGATACAAGCAGATTCACTAATGCTGAAGGAGAAACTTTACATCATTTCTTGTATATATCAAGTTTTTCCGAGTACACAGTCGTTGATGTTGTTAATGTAACAAAGATTGATCCTGAAATCCCACCTAACAGGGCGTGTCTTTTGAGTTGTGGTGTATCAACAGGTAATTTCCTCATTTTCTAATATTTACATGTTATAAAAATCAACCAAGTCATCATAGTAATGTTGTTTGTTTAAATTTTCCTTGCTACTATCTGTGGTTCATGTTTGATATGATGTAAATTAAACTTCAGGAGTTGGTGCTGCCTGGAAAACAGCAAATGTGGAACCAGGTTCGACAGTAGTTATCTTCGGTTTAGGATCAGTTGGATTAGCAGTAAGTTTCTCCTCCGACTTCTTCTTGCTTATGTATGTCGGTATCATGTAAGCTGATATGCTTTTGGAGGATCTTTTAGGTTGCCGAGGGAGCAAGGCTATGTGGTGCTACCAGAATTATCGGCGTTGGTAGGAACTCTGACAAGTTTGAAATAGGGAAGCAGTTTGGAGTTACTGAGTTTGTCAATTCCAAAAGCTGTGGGGATAAACCTGTTAGTCAGGTGGGCCTTTTATTGGTATAGTGATATTTTGAAAATAAGGTCCCCTTAAAATGTTGGATTCATAATCTTGAAAATAAGACGGAGTACATACCTGTATAATGTAAATATGACAATGATTCTTATCCCATGCCAAAACTCTCATATCAGGTAATAATTGAGATGACTAATGGAGGTGCTGATTATTGCTTTGAATGTGTTGGTCTAGCAACACTTGTGCAGGAAGCATTTGCCTGCTGCAGAAAGGTCTCCCCGCGTAAATCTTGTTGTAATCAACAATATAAACAATACAAATTTGTCTATTAACCTTTGGCTGTAATATGCAGGGTTGGGGTAAAACAATTGTTTTAGGAGTTGATAAGCCAGATGCACAGCTGAATCTTAGCTCCTTTGAGGTTCTTCAGAGTCAGAAAACTCTCACGGGATCATTCTTTGGTGGTCTAAAACCCAAATCTGATGTTCCTATCCTCGTTAAACGTTACCTTGACAAGGTACTTTATCAATCTGCTAGAAAATTCAATGACCATACGTGAAATTAACCCTTAGTACCACATTTATGTGGCTTCTCAGGAATTGGAGCTGGACAAGTTTGTCACACATGAAGTGAATTTTAAAGATATCAATAAGGCGTTTGATTTACTCATTCAAGGAAAGAGCCTACGCTGTGTTATCTGGATGGACAAGTGATTTATCTTACTTCAATCTGTGCCTTGTTTTCAATTAATTGTACCTCAGCTCTCAATAACCATTTGGTCTCGAGCTAGAGCCAAACTTAGACAATTTCTTAATATATGGATGTGATCATGAGTATGACAGATTATTACAGCAAACATATTATTGCAGATTTTGCAAATGTTTTATCTCAGAAATAGACAAGTAACTGAGCAGCACATTATTATCTCTACATATTAAAGAAACTTCAACTATCCTATGACACTGTAAAAGCACTAGATGCACCAGTATAATACAAGTTTGATGATTCTTTCGTTTTCTTCGTTGATCCAAAATGCCTTAAGCGATAAACGCCTGGACTAGCCTCCTCTGGTACTTCCCATTCAAGTGTAGCATAACCATAACTATTCACATCATCACGAGCAATACCAGTGACATTTTCTGCTTGCCATTTAAAGAACAAGCAAAAATCATCATCATCATATTTAGGTAGCCAACTTTGGCGTTGAAGCATTTCCACAACAGCAAATGTGCCTTCAGTAAGTAAGTCATATCTTGGATTTGCACTCCAGAATATGGCAATTACTCTGTCTCCCTTTGTAAATGTTCCGGATTTTGGTACAGTTATGTCTTGTTTAATATCGCCAAAATTTATGCCCGGTGGAGGTGAATCACCAGTAGGATCTGGTAATAGACTAAGTTGAATTGACAGAAGGTCTGGTGGTGAAGGTCCTTTTGTAGTAATGTTTTCTCCTTTTGCCATAGATTCAGCTAGCTTCTTGAATTCTTGAATATATGCTGATAATGTGTGTGGACCGTATAGCGTAGACGCAGCCTGCCCAAGTTTAAATGACTATTGATTTAAGTTATATGCACTGACAATGTAAAAGAACAAATTTGGATACATACTTCTATTGTATATGATAGTGAGAACTTTTAAGAGGTGTATGGTAACCTATTATAAGAGGCTTACTTTACTATAATTCGAACTTTATAATAAACAGATATATAACTTGCAAGTTATACATTTGTCCAAGAGTACGTAGTACCTCATAACGTTGTTGCTCGTACTCTTCAAAAGTGGTTATGTACTGTGAGTAAGCGTTGGTTAGGCCAGCTATGACAACATGAGTTTGGTCATCAAATTCGCCATTTCCGCTGCGAATTAGTGTCTGTTGCACTGCCTCTCTTAACCTACGTCCAGCCATTGTTGTAAATTCTGTACCACACATGAATTTGTATATGTTTTCTTAGTTGTTTTGAAATAAATTACTATATAAGTATATGTCACAAATTTTATATTTAAAAATATAGTCAAAACATACCTCCTGGCACAGAGAGAATGATGAGACTTCCTAGTCTAAAAATTTGAATTGGAAGTATTGCTGGCTGCAAAATAAAAAATAAAAAATAAGCCAATATAATCGGTGTACTTGTTATTACACCAAGTATACAACGGCAATTCCTCCATTCTTAACAAGAGAGATTCCGTATGGAACGGCATTTGGAAGGGAGCGTTTTCCTCCTTAAATGGGAGTTTCCCGTATGAATTCGAATTAGACCAGCTCCAAAACGAGTACCAGACAACGGATGGGAAATCAAAGAAAAAAAAAGTATACACTACTTTTAATTTTGTTGTTGGGCCTTACCGCCCAAGGATATGGCCAAAACATCTCTCCAGAGTCCAACAAAACAGTCTTGGGCTTTTGACAGTCCACTTGATATGGGCTTGGTTCTCTTAACACATCTCTTAACTTCTTCCAAAGTGGATTAATCTGGAAATTAAATCAAATTTTCATCTTTAAAAGATAGTAATAATAGATTATTATTTTTTCAAGATTATAAAAATTAATTAATTAAATTGATTTGTGACCTCAGTATCACCCTGTTGGAAACCAAAAACACCAGGCCCATCAGTAGTTCCAGCAGCAAATCCTGGGCCCAATGCTGCAGGGCATGTTTGGACAACCTTATTATCTTCTAATTGAACCTTAGTATTTGTAAAATTAATATAAACATGTCGATAATCAATTTTCCCTGTTAATTCTTGTTTAGCAGATGTGAAAAGATCAACAGCCTTTTGAAATTGTCTTTCTCCAATAATCTTTGTACTCAATATTTCATCTGGATATCTGTAGACACATTAGATTGTAATCTACAAGATCCATGAGTCGTCACAAAAAAAAAAGAAGAAGATCATTTACTAAACAGTTATCCCAAAAAGGGATGAGTCTTACCCAGGCCCGCGGCCCACACAAAGTTGGTCATTGCCATGACAAGAAGAGTGATTAAAATCACAAGGTAATCCACTGTCAATACAAAATGCTCCAACCACATTTGGACTCACATCTCCAACATTTGATTGACAAAATGCTCCAACAAATTTCATTTCTTTGTTTTTTCTCACCTTAAAGCCTTGACTTGTTGTATTTGTACAAGGTTGTCCTCCTGTAGGCTTGATTTTAGATGTTTTATTCAATAAATCTTGGTTGCTACCTGATAGGTTACCTGCTATAACAGATAAATATAATTTGATGTGTAAAAAATTATTTAAATTGATAGTTTATATAGCCTAAAGCAAATGCTTTTACAACAATGTAATCAAATGTGATTTCACAAGTGGGGTCGGGGTCTAGGGAGGATGGGATTTATGCAAACCAGTGGCGGAGCCAAGATTATCAATAAGACATACGAAGTAGTCGAAGGGGGTTCGACATCTACTATATATACCTAAAAAAATATTTTAACCATGTATAAATCATATAATTTTCTTCCGAAGGGGGTTCGGATGAACCCCCTAATTGAATGGTGGCTCCGCCACTGATGCAGACCTTACCCTATCTTGAGTAAGGTAGAGAGATGTTGTTTTCGATAGACCCTTTCAGAACGGTTGAAATTATGAAAATATTTTTTTACACAAACAAAATTAATAATTTACCTACCTAACACCTTAGTAGATTTTGTAGAGGAATTTTTGGTGAACCAATCCTCAAAGAATCTAGCAGCTGCACCCTTATTATCTCCACTAATTAGCTTATTATTTCTGCTCATTGAAGTGCCATGTGTTGCAAACCAACTAAATGCACCTATATTTTTTCCAGTATCTCCATCCACAAACTTCAAAAGGGTCATTAGGGTATCAATATTTGTATTATATTTAGATCTCTCTTCTTGAGGATTGAATAAATATGCACTTGGACTCCTGTTTATGCCTGCATTTTCTAGATCTCCTACATAATCATTCAAACAAAAAAGGACAATGTTAGATTCATGTAGGATACAAATTGCCATGTAGGGTGCCACATCGGACACAAGACATTCAGAATTAAGCTTGAGATAAAAATTATACTATATTTAGTTGACAATATAAATTTATCATATCCCACCAAACTAAGGATTATTTTATCCCACCAGCTCATAGGTGGGATAAATTAGTAAAAAAATTATAATTCTAGAATTATAATCTCGGAATAATTTTGTCAACAAAATTTTATTTTGCACAAGAGAGAATGAAAACTAATGTAGTTTTTGAAAATTATTTCTTTAAGTCCTTTTAATTTTACATATTTCATTAGATTAAGTCAACAAATGAGTCATAATTCAATCCATTTAAACTTTGAGAGAATTACTAACAATTACTATTATAAAATAACTATAACTATATGCATGATGATTAATTTGTCACCTTTGTTGATAAAGATAGAACCAGGCTTTAGATTGTCATGGGCCTGGACAATACTGAGCTCAATGGCAGTAACAATTGCCTCAAATGATTGTGGCACAAAGCCCAATGAAGTTACACTATATGTCACATATTGCAAATAACCTCCTGGACCAGCATGAGTATGTGTCCCACTTATTGCAACATTTTCTTCACTATATATATTTCCATACCTTCATATATACAACCAAAAAATAATACTTTATAAGCTTCGTGTCTAGTCAAATATCGTCAAATAAAATCATATGAGTCGTACCTTGACTTTAGTCGCTCGAGTACTTTGATTGTGACAAGTTGTGAAGCCATACCAGCATCAAGATTAACAAACACAAGCCTCAGACCATTGAAACTTTCAGCAACGATGAATGTCCTAGCTCGTAATCGAAAATGTATACCACCAGTAACTTGATCAAAATTACCATACCCCATCATGTTCACTTGTGAAGCTGGTCCTGTCATATCATAACTTCCTAATCCTATTAAGTAATCTCCATTGACACTTAGAAGTATTTGACAAAGAAAAAACAGGAAAATACTTAGTAAGGTTTCTGTTTTTCTTCTCATTTTGTTCTATGAATGGAAATTGTATGGATTGTTTTTAGAATTGTATATGCAAACGTCGGGTTATATGTTAGTGAACAAATTGGGAATTCCTAAGGAACTCTTGGATCTAATGTTGTAGTAGCGGGTTTACCTGAAACCAGTACTTTCGACGTGGAACATAAATTTATATGTAAAAATTAACTAAAATTGCAATGATAGATATGAACTCGTAACTTTAATAATATAATTAGTTCAATATTGAGAACCATAAATATTGAACTGAATTGATAGAATTTAAATTCTGAATCTACCTCTGCGTCGAGCTTATATGTTCTGATTTTTTTAATTTTACTATGAAGAAATTTGGACTTGAATGCATATTTGCTTAGGTTGCTCCGAACGTGCAATTTTGGGAAAGTTGTGTCTTGTTTGTTATATGTTGGAATTGTATGTTTTTTTGCGGCTTGAATTTTAGCTATTTGTTTTTCAGTTTCATTTGGTATCAAGTATGCATATATCACGGATTCAAAATTTGAATTTTATGCATTTAAGTGTGGAATTTTAGTATTGTGACTCCGAACTCTACTTATTTCCCAACCTTAGGAACTAAATCACCCTCGGCCCCTTCCTTAAACTCTGCTAACGCGGAATGTTTTGTGCACTAACTGTCCCAGATACTAAATCGCCCCTGCTTACAGCTCAGAGTTTGTGTTCTTTGCAGGCTTTTTAGATTAAGATGCATGAATCAATCTTTACTCATTATTTCCTCCCTTTCCCCACCATTATGCTACTCCATTTCATAGAATATGCACTTTACACTTTGGAAAGCACACACCCATGCTTCTTAATTGCTTAACTTTACTCTTACAGCACATGTCTCATGGGTGATGGTCCATGTTTCTTCTAAAGTGTATAGCTTGAATTGCAAGCTTGTCTAATCCATAAAGGCATGCTAACAAAAATGCTTGATGTGATAACTTCTTAGGTGGAGTTCAAGTGAGTATTTTTTATATTGTTAGGTCGTATTTAATTGGTATAGCAGGTAACCTATGTGTTAGGGTTTTGCCCTGATTTTCTTACCATAATTTAAGATTTATTTTTCCTTAAAGAAAAAACAAAACATTACCATAAATGTTTTTACTTTTCTTGAAAGGAAAATATAATATTATTTTATATTTGGTTTATTCTCTCCTTTTAGGACTCCTTTTCTAGTAGAAAAGGTTTTAGGACTCTATAAATATATGTTTGTTTCTTCTAACACAATAACAATAACATCCACAATGTAGACATTTAAAAAGTTTAGTTTATGGGGAGATTTATTCTCTCAACAGTTATAATATTTTTCTTTTAAATTAATTTTCATATTAATAATATTATGTTTTAGTATCGCTTTATTTGTCATCTAATTTATCACCGTCTTGATTGCAATTGTAAGCTTCCGCATGACACCCTAATCACCTTCAGAACCCAACACTATGTTATTATCAAGATTGCATATTTGCATTTTAAAGATGTTTTAGCTATACATATAAATATCTTTTAGTTACCTATGTTACTATCAAGATTGCATATTTGCATTTTAATGATATATTTTGCGTTTTGGCTATATAAATATCTTTTAGATCAAGATTGCATATTTGCATTTTAAAGATACTTTGGCTATATAAATACTTCATCTTTTAGATGATCTATAGTGTAAATGATGGTAGTTATTAAACTACTTCAAACTACTTTTATGTGACATTTATAATTTGCCCAAATTCAAGTCTAACGAAAATAATAACATTTGACTAGCATTTTATTTATTTTCATACCATCCCATTTACTATCTATTAATATTTGATTGATTGATCCTTATATCATAATAATAGTTAAATGATCAAATGATTTGGTAATTTCTTACAAGGGGATGAATCGAGAGAAATTTAAATCGCAACTCTAAAATTTTTATCATCTTTTGCCATAATAATATCTCAAGAACCATAAAACAAGAAGTCAAAAAGGATAAAATCAACTGCATTTTACAAATCCATATCATCAAACTTCATACACATAAGGCACATATACAAAACAATATATATGCACTTACATACAGAAATATCAAATACAGTACTAAACAAAATCCTTCAAAATCCAAAAAACAAAGTGAAGGAAATAAAAACACTTAATAACCAAAGCAACACAGAAACACAATCATAACATCCCAAAAGTAAAAAACATCAACAAATAAACATTGATTTAATTTAGTCTTTTTCCTTCTCCTTTTCCTCTTCAGTCTTTGAGTGGTATCCTGGTAATTTCTCCTTAATTTTGTCCAAAAATCCCTTTTTCTCCTTTCCCTCCGCCTCATGCTCCACCGCAGCCGGTGGTGGTGGTGGTGGCGCCGCCACTTCCTCCGTCTTCTTATGTCCTCCACCTGGCAATTTCTCCTTAATTTTTTCTAGAAATCCTTTTTTCTCCTCTGTTTCCTCGTATTTCTCAACTGGAACTGAGGTATCCTCTGTTTTCACTTCTTCCTTGTGATCACCAGATATTTTTTCCTTAATCTTTTCCTTCAATCCCTTCTTTTTCTTCTTCTTGGTTATCTGTCCATCCTCTCCAATTTCTTCCTCCTCGTCACTCTGCAAATCGATCAACATTAATATGTCGTTCACTCAACTGATTAAACTAAAAATAGTCCGTATGAATATATAATCTATGTACAATATATCAATGATCACGTATAATTTATTCATACCTACTAGAAAAAGTAAACAGTAAATTTACTTGTGAAAACAAATAGTGTCAAGTATTAATCTCTATATTATCAAGTTAAAAGTAACCTACAATAGCATATCGTGATTTTTTGTTTTAAGCCTAATATGGTGTTGCTATAAAAAAAAAAAAAAAAAGATAAGTAACAACTATTGACTTTTGTTTATACATTTACAAATTTCTCAAGTATACAAATTTCTAATTATTTATAGCTGAATAAAATCATCGGAATATTATAACATGATCAAGGATCCAACGCTATCGACTTAATTACTTAAATTGAAAATAGTCAGCGGACAATATAATCTATGTGAAATAAATATGATCATGAGAAAAAATGTGTGTTATATTTATTGATTTGACGTAAACTTTAAAAAATATGTGACGTAAAAATATGAAAGAGAGACTTACCGAGCTACTAGAGCTGCTACTTGATCGATGAAGTTTCTTCTCTTCTTTCTTTTCCTCCTTGTGTTCTTCTTCTTCACTTACTTTAACTTTCTCACAAAACTCAGATGAAATTGCCTCTTCTTCATGAGCATGACTTGGTTTTTCCTCTCTTTTACTCACAATGAAATCAAACACACCACGATCACTAGCCTCCACGTTGGCACCAACAGTCTCTTCAACTGATGGCTTGTTCTGTTCGTACTGATCAGCCATATTTCTTCTTCTTTTTTTCAATCAAAGAAATTATCAACAACTTTAAGGTAAAGTGAAAGTTTGAATATTGAAATTATATTTGAATTGGATGTGGTAGAAATATGAGACTTGGTGCGCTTTTTATAGCAATTACAAACACGGACGTTACGCTGATTAAGATTATTTTATTTTTCGATATAATAAAAAAGAAGTTCAAACGTCTCATAATAAAGAGTAATCAAGTACACCAAGTTAAACCGACGTCTAAGTGGCCTTTTTTGTTCTTCACACTTTCCAGTGTATATCAATTTTATATACTCGCCATGTTAGCATGACAAGTGGACAAATAATCTTACTTATAGGTACGTACGACTGAGTTGGCGCAATATGTGATATTTTATTACAAAGGTTCGTCACTATTCTTCAGTTCAGCTAGTAAATTATTGCATATGAACGGATTTATTCCATGTATACCTGAAGAATAATGATATGAATTTCTCTTATAATACATTTATAAATGTTCATTTTGATCCAAGTAAATACTACTCTCTCAATCCTAATTGATTACTTTTTTCTTTTACACACTCTTTGAATGAGTATATATTGCAGTATAAGTTTTTGTTTTCTATTCGGTGATCGAAGCCACGTTAAAACTCCAAGTAAATCTGAATCATGCAGGACCCATTCGAACATAGCATTTTTAACAAAATTTTCTCCATATACAAAACTTGACCCATATAAATAATGATGTGACCATTCTCACAGAATAAGTTTGCTTACTCTATTACACGACAGACGTGATGAAAAAGGATGTGTACATTAAAAAGAAGAAATTAGAATAATGTAGAGACAGACACGCTGTACTCTTGACGGTGACAAACAGCCAATGAAATTCTCACACGTAAGATGACAACGCGTGAGGTCGTCCTTGTGGGACCAGACAGTGTCGGCCTTGGTTGGATAACTTTGTGTGTCGGTATTGGTAGGGTACAATGAACATGACACGTGGCGCAATTATAGGGGCCAGGTAAACTTCGAGATCCCCAAATTAAGTCGATGTTCTCAATTTCATGTGGGGCTCCCATCTCCATTCATGGATCCTTGTCCATTTGCTTAATTCTTTATTCGATAATTAACATCGTATCTGTATTGAAACTCAACTAAATTTAAATCTTATAATGTAAAACTTTCTTAAACAAAAATGATTTCATGTTTATAATTTGAAATTGAAACTCTATATTATGAATGAAGAAGTATTTATTACTTTGCTGCAATCTTAAGTTTACGAGTTTAATTTCGCGAGAATATATATATTATAAGATATTTAATTTAACATGGGACCCAAAGGAAAAAAAGGACAGGTGGTCGGTTTGACGTTTGGTATAATAACTTTTGGAAAGAATGAAGGTTACAAAAAACCTTCTAAATTTTGAGATGAAACGTAACCATTTAAGTATGGTAGGGGGTGTGCTGTTTAATTGGCCCTTTATTTTGCTTTCGGTAAGTAACGCTTTCATCAGATTCCAATAATGCCGTTTCCTTTTTTTCTTGCTTTAATAATCTTAGCAAAACACGATGTGAGCATGATATAATAAGGAGTCGGAGGTTTGGGGTGGTGAGGGCTGGGATAGTCGATGGGTCGGGTTGGGGATGCTGTATGAATGATCGAGAGGAGATAATGAATTTGAAATATTATTTATCGGACTTGTTTTCTATATTATTATTAGAAAAGTCATTTTTCTCATTTTTCTTTAGGAAAATAAAATCTTTGAAAATGAGAAAAATGACTTCTTTAATACAAAAGTAAAAGTTAGCCTCAATATTCAAGCAATTTAGTAGGAAATAAATAACAAAATGAAAGCTTCAAAAAGTCGCACAAATTATAGATAACTAAAACAGTAAACGCACATAAAAATATGTTTCTAATTAGTTTTAGCTATGCCTAGGAATATTGTTCGACAAATTGAAACTTTGATATCAAGATTAATTGTTACTTTACATTTGTAATTGTTTGCTTTGCCATTTTCGTACAAGTGTGTCTTTTGATAAGATTCCATTGCATGAACATAATCAATCACTCTCTGATTAGACCCCCCAAAAAAAAAAGATATTTCTTAAAGCAACGGTGCAATTATATTTTTTGTTATACGAATGTATGATACATATAAATAGTAATATAGCTTTTCACTAAAAATAATTCAAATAAATCTCTTTGATTCTACCTAACTTCGCCCTGCTTTGGAGTAACCATTAGTCCTCTGTTGTCTGACAAGAATTTTTAGGATACCCAAAAAAAGTTTTGGACTTTGATGTATTCATGTTTGCCACTAGTGTGCTAATCAAATCAAATTAAGGCATCATTATAAATTACAATCCATCTATCATATTTGCCATTTCGTAAGACTAGTTAATATATACTCCCTCCGTCCCTATTTACTTGTCCATATTTCCTTTTTTGGTTGTCCCTATTTAGTTGTCCATTTTGACAAATCAAGAAAGGACAACAAATTTTTTCCTATTATACTCTTATTTACACTTCTTGAAAATTGTAAAAGTGTATGTTGTTTCCCTCCAATTTATTTCACTTGAATTCAAATAAGTGGTTGTAATTTTGAAGTGAAAAGTTGTCATAAGGGTAAAATTGTAACTTCACTGTGCTAATCATTGTTGCCTTAATCTGTGTGCCATTTCTAAAGTGGACAACTAAAAAGGGACGGAGGGAGTAATTATTAAAGGGAGAAATAGAAACCAAAATATCTTGATAAAAGATAGATTCATATTGATTTATTGTTTTTGATTCAAACTATATATGCATAAATTAAAAATATTTAAATATATATAATAATAATATCATATTAATTTTGAACCCACTAGTTCTGATTTTGGAAGTCGCTTCTAGTGAATTGTTATTATTGCTACTCGAATTTTCTTCTTAAACTTTGCTAAATAAAAAGAAGTTATACCAACACATTGCTTCAATAATTTATTCTCATAAAAAAAATCTATTGGCAAACAATGATTTGTACAAATCTTATCCAATATTATTGATTAGTCTAGACCCATCTAAATAAGTCATAATGCTACTAGTTGAATTATGTGATCTCTTGATAACTCTTGTTAGAAAAATGTTAGTTTGACAATTATTTTGTGTTTACATATTTCATAGTCAATATTATTTCTCCCACCTCATAAATGTCATTATGGATAATAGCTAGTGGAGATGACTAATTATAATGATTGTCAGTGGTTAATGGATCACGTAATAATAGTGATTGATGACGAAATCAATTCTCAATGGCCGATGAAATTAGTGAAATAATATTTTAAAGAAAATTTTTGATTATATATTTTAGTGATATTATTAATATAAAATAATATAATTATAATATAATACAACACAACTATAAACAACATTTCATTATGAAATAGCGTATGATAACCATCCATCAAAGTGTAAGTAAATGATTACAAATGTGTGTAAATAAATTTTACTTACCACTATTGCAACTAAAGGTCATTTAACAATTCATGTACTTTTAATATTCTTGAAAGACAAATATATGTGTAAATTATGTATTTAACATCCACAATCAATATTTTTATCAAAACTAATATTTTAGTTTGTTTAAGGACTCAATTTGTTTTGTAAGTTTTTTTTGTGTGTGTGAAAAATAAACCACACAAACATATTTGCCAAAAAAAGATTTAAAAAATAAAAATAGTTAATATCTCAGAAATAGTTTAGGAAAGAAAATACGAAATTGACAATATTCCAAAGGAAATTAACTATGTGGAGTTGAACTTAGCTTTTATAAAAAGGGGTCCTCATTAACTTTGATAGAAAATATTCATTTCAGAGATGCCTCCCATAAGCAAAGATTTATATTAATTGTCTTCACTAGTAATTAAATGCAACTAGCTTTGTATACTAAATCGTCTTCAAAATGTCCAATTACTCTCTGAAGAGAGTATTTAGTGTCGTTATCGATATCGTTGAGTATATAATCAATCGTCGGACGGAAAGGTATGTCTTAACTTTACCGGATTGATGAATATCCCTTAGACCTAATATGGCTTCCTTTAGCGCGGTAACAATTAGATCCTCTTTTGAATAATGGATGTTATTCAAAAAAATAATGATGTAATTTTGAAAATTAGATATTTATAAAAAAATTTAAATAAAAAGAAGAGAAAATGGTCTAAAACACTCCCAATCTATCTCTGAAATTCCAACTACACACTTATTCATTACGAAAGTCCTATTACCCCTTATACTATTTTAAAGTAGAATTATTCGCTCCCTGAATGATGAGGTGGCAAAGAAAGTGTAGTTCACTCTCTTTTAAGGTAAAAATAATAATTAAAATTTTAGATTTTAAAAGTATTTCTTAAATTTTATATTATAATTTTTTGATTCTTCAAAAATCTTTATGTTTCTTTTTAAAAAAATTCTTTTTATTGTCTTTCTTCTTTTCTTCAACAAAGCTACATCGGTCCGTTAGGCCAGCCTGGCCTAACCCATAATTTGATAAGGTTGGTCTATGATTTTTGAAGTCTATTTAAGAAAAGAGTTTTTTAGCCCGGTCTGAATAAGTCTGTCGATTTGTGGGGCTTGAGAATTATGAATAAGACTGGCCCGTGGGTAAACAAAAATAAAATAAAGTATTAAAAATAACAAGAGTCTAAACTCAAAATCTATTAAAAGTTTGAAATATTACAATTTAAATACAAATTATGTTTATAAAATATGAAATACATAAAATAAAAATTTCTTAAAATTTCTAGGGATTCACTACATAGGCCATAGCCTATGGAATATTGTCATGGTTTTTGTGTTTTTTATGATCATTGAAAAACAATTAGGTTAATATTTCTATTTAGCTATTTATGTTTTTATCTGAAATCAAACTTAATAAATATAATCAAGATACTTTTATTTGTGTATTTGATTAACAAGTAGTAACACTAACGCGATGTAATATTCTCTTGTCGATATTTATGATAATATTTTTAAATTATAA